ATTTTTGTAGTATAAATGTTATTTATTTTATAATTAAAATTTTTTCACGACAGCGAGTAAAATTACAGAACATTTATTTTAAATAATTTTAGTTTGTTTAAATCCCATCAATCATTATAATTATTCAAATCTCCTTGAAGTAATTTACAATAATTTATACAATTATTTGGTAAATAAAATTTAAAGTTAACAGCAAAGATGAAAATTTCACAAAAATGATCAAATCATTCATAATAAAAAGAAATAACAATGAAGATATATGGCCACCTTAGGTAACTTCTAAAAACTAAATAACACCCCTTTGATATTACTTTTTTGGAACGGCCAGTAAAAAAATATAAAAACCAGAAAAGAAGAGAGTTACAGGGACCATTTTTTTAAATTTTGACAACAAAATAGAGTGATCAAAAGTGTGAAAAGGTTTTTGTAAGTCTGTATAAATAACTTGTATTCGACCGCCTTTTTCAATGACATTATTGAACGACCATTGTGGAAAATTTTTCTTAATAACTACAATAAGAATAATTTATGACGCATTGAAACATATTATTGTTGCCCCTAGTATTACAAAAACCAAATTAGTGATGAAATTTCTATTTTTAATCTAAATCTTTAAATAATTTAAAAAAACATAAGCACTAATAAATGAAAAAATAATTTATATTGAAAATATATATATTATATAAAATAAAAACAATAAAATATATAGAAATTTTTTTAGGTAATTAGATTTTATTATTTACAGTTTATTCATCAATACTTTATACATTAATATCAAATATTAACTTTTTAATAAAAGTTAGCAAAAATTGTGTACCCAACTAGTAGCTAAAAGTTAAAGTATAATAAAAATTATAATTTTAAAATACTTTTAATTTCCAATGAAAGAAAAATATGAAAAAGATAACAGTTAAAATAATTTAAAATTACTTCAAAACCTTTGCCCAAACAAAGATAAAAAAAGAAAAATTTCTTGAAGAAAATTTAAATTCTGATACATTATCGCTATAAACAGACGCTTTTATCTTCATATTGTATTTTCCTCATAATAAAATCACATTATAAATATTATTAATATTAACTACTGTACATTTTTTTGTTAGTGTTAGATAATAATCTTTATAGTTGATGATTAACCAACAAAAAATATATATATATATATATATATATGAAAAGTATTTTTATATATATTCAATTAATCATGATCTCGATTTCAAACTATATTCGTAAAATTTCACCTGTCAAAATATAAAAAACTTACTATTTTATTTTCGATGAACAGATCATGTATAAAATGAACGAGGCATTAAAATAATTACAATCATAACACATAACTTCCAAATCAGATGAGAAAAATATTTTGTCAAATATTTGGTGAAATATTTTTTATAAATATTTGGTGAAATATTTTTTATAAATATTTCAAAGAGATATTTTTTTTTAAGTAATTGTAGAAACATCTCATAAAATAATCTCATTTTGTACTTAAATAAATTTTCCTTCAAAACAAAATCAAAGCGAATATTTATACTCGTTTTCTTTAATGGGTTTTTTAATCGTAATAATTTCTGAGACCTGTAGCTCATAGCTAAATTAAAAATGTATTCCTTTGAGCTTATGTGTTAATAAATATTTAAACGCGATGAAAAATAATACTACTGAATGAACTATAAATGAAATATATATAATGTCCTTTTCACCAAAATTACTATGAAGTTATAAATTACTAGACCTTGAATATCTACTAATAAACCCTATAATTGACCTTATTTATTATTTACTCATAGTTTAAAACTAAATTTAAACTTATATAAATATTTTTTTGAACCGCCTTAGTTTTTTTAATAGACAAAAGTATTTTAAGTTTGAACTTTATATTTTCGTTTACAATCAATATTTCAAATAGATTCTAACTAAATATTAATAAGGGTGAATGGAATACTATACATGTATCTTATTTATTTTTTTTTTTTTGACCTAAAAATAACTATTCGTGCTTAAAAAGTTCAGTTAAACGTATACAGCCCTCACATTGAACTTTCATTAAAATATTATATGGATTTATATATGCGTAATTTTAACTAAAAATTGAATAAAAAGATTCTTTTGCTAAACTTATAATATTTTTCAATATAGTTAAAAATAATAATCTGACTAAAATTAATAGTTGTACTTACAATTTCGTATATGCCCGTAAAAAATTTATTCATAAAAATTACTTTCAAAGTTTTGGATTTTTAATGTTTTATGTCTAATTATATTTTACTTTGTTGGCAAATTTCTTATTACAAAGTTAATTAATTTGATATTGTTTGTTTATAAAGAATTTGTTTCAGGTAGAACAATACGGTTTTGTTGCATGATAATTTGCAAAACTTCATTATATAAGACGAAATATTAAAATTTTGAATATTATATTTTGTTATACAAATTTACAGTTTTTAAATGATTATATTACATAAAGGAAAATAGGGTAATGATGTGCACTTCATATAATGAGGTGTTAAACTAATGATACCCAGACAGCAATTATAAAAATATTATTAGAACATTATTTAAATAAAAAATGCTGTCATTTAATAAAAAATTATTTGAAATTATAATAAAAATAAAAATTTCAAAGAATGATTTATAATTTTCCTTCATCCCAAATCAAGCAACGTCTAGTAATTTTTAAAACTCAAAAAAGGACTGGTTAATCAGACTACTTATTTTCTTGAGAGTTTTTATGTTGGTCTATCTCATCAAATATATCTAAATTTAGAAATTGCAGTCTCCAAACTGTAAGCTAACATTTAATTGAATATATAAAAATAAATCGTATCTTACAGTATTCATTTTTCCTTGTATTTTGACACCTAATTATTTAGAACACCATTTTACAAATTTAAGATATTATATTCCTTTTTATGGTTATTGTAAGTGGCGGCTCATGGGTGCTGGTAGTGCGACATTTTAATATAATACCGGTAGTCATAGCATAAAAAATTGTCAAATTAAATATAATAAAATAAAATACAATACACAAATTATTATTTTTAAGGTCGCAGTAGAAAATAGAAATGAAAATAATAATAGCGATTATACTAAAATAGCAACCGATAACGCAAGCAGTTAATTCAAAAAATAAATTACTCAATATAGTAATATACTAATATTTTACCGTATGCACAACGGTCGTCCAAAACGCGTACATAAGATTGCAGCTGAACCGCACCCGCACGCACACAATTGCAGCACCTCCCTTATAATATAAGTTTTAAAATATTGTATAAAATATATAAATATATAAATATATACATATATAAAATATTATATAAATATACAATTATTTTATTCTTTTAATTAATTTTAGTAGGGGGTGCCCATCGTACCGTCGTCCAAGCCACGAGCCGTCACTAGTTATGGCTATTTCAAAAAAATTTTTAGTATTATATCGGTACTACATATTTATTGTCAATTTGACATTATGGATATCTTCAAGAATATTTGTTTTATTGGTCGTTTACACAAGAAAAGGTAGTTAAATAAATAGATAATTAATATTTTTAGTAAAATATTGAATGAAGATCCCGATCTTTAATACATTGAAAAATAATCATGTAAATCAAATTTTTTTTTTGTCTCATATACAAAATAAATATACATATTTATTTATACCTAACATATTTATGTGTTAGTATATCTTAAAATGACATAAAATAAAATGCATGTGTTTTTTAATATTATTGATTCATGCTTTTCAATTATTAAAAATGATAACGTATTTAAAATTATTTGAAATAGTTATTGTTACTAAAATAATTCAAACAGACTTTTAAATAGTTTAAACATAGTTTGTATAATCTACTATATTAAATCACATTTTGTATCTTCAACGACAAAATATCCCTTGAGGCATTCTTGAAATACCTAAATATGATGTTGATGGTTTGCTAACTGAGTTTGTACAATGAACTCAGGTACATTAAATTATAAACAATATTATAATGTCAAGTACGAAATACTTATAACTAAGCAGATCTCATTTGTATTATAATTATTGACTTCAATTCTTGACACATAGTAATTGATTTATCATTGACCACTAAATTTATTTTCAAATAATAATAGTTATTCTTTTTCTTTCATTATATTTAAGTAAGATTATTTTATCGGTTTAAAAATGATTAAATATGTTTCAAGTCTATTCCTTACAAGAGTGTTAACTTTATTTAATTGGTAATAAACATCATATTTTAATAAATTAAATGCTAAAAAATGATCAAACTAAGGAAATAACTGGTCATCAACTACTTTTGAACCAATATTATACGCAGATTTTTATATCTGGGTGACAATAGGAGTACGAGTGATGCATAATGATAAAAATACCATAACCCGAACCTCACCTCTAGTAAACATAAATAAAATTTTTGTTTGTTATAAAATTATTTTAGGTAAAAAAAAACCTGTAAATAAACTTATCTGTAAAATTATAAATAAATTTTTAATTTAATAATAAATAAACTTACAATTAAATTTAATAATAAAAAAGCATTTAAGTTGTAAAATTAAATGAAGTCTGTAATGGTTTATACAGAATTTTGTCATAGTATTTAGTGTTTAAAGAAAAGTGAGTTAACTAAACACTTCCAGTTTTTAGAATATTCAAGATAAGTAAGACACGTGTTATAAAAGCCCGAAATTCATTTATAAGAAAATAAAAGTATTTATTATGTACATTAATTTCTGACATTATAAATCACAAGTATGTTAACAAAAATGTTTTTAAAAGGGTTACAAACACAGAATAACATCGATTTTTAACATTCGGCTATTACTCATTTCAATTCAAATAAAAATTAATATACTCCATTTTTAGTATGTTTATTAATTTTATTTCCATATATTTTTACTAAAGTAATCACTTATAGTTATATATTCTCCTTTTTTTACAACATTGATAATTATTTTAATTTTGTACGATTAAAATTTTTTTTATAAGAAATAAAATTTACCTGTGTCGAAATTTGAAATTTTTAAGTGCAATTGGTTATTGTGGTAAATAGTCGAATGTTTTTTACTGAACATTTGCAACTAGATATGTAAATAACAAGTTACAGTTTTCATAAAAATGAACACTCAATAACTCTAAGGACATTTTTGGAAAAAATTATACTCGTAATGTATGAATTTTGATCAACTTTGACGATGTCACTACTTGACCCGATCGGACGTCAAGCAAACGCTTCGGAACACGAACCACAACTGATTATGTCAGCACTCTCTGACTACTAGCGATTCTCTTTTCAACCCCTCGGCACCAACATCCTCATCCACTAGGTGGTTGTGCTTATAGCCATTTACGCTAGTCATGTTGGTTTCTATCTATTCAGCTGCCCAGATGGGTATTTCTTCATTCCTATATTCTTATACTGACCTAAGGGAAATCATTCTTAGAAGAATTTTTACAATGTCGGGGTACAATTAATCATTTAGATTTTTCATTATATTTAATTAATTTTTTTTACAGTTGCATTTAGCTCAATAATTTTATAGTTTCTTTATTTTAATTAACTCGACAGTTAATTAAATATTTTTATAATAAATACCAATATGCGTCATAAAAATTAATTTTAATATTAATTGTAAACTTTTTTTTAGTTTGTTATAATTTTTCATAACTAAACAGCCTGAAGAACATTTAAAATCTTGATTTTAACGGACACGTATTGTAAAAATCATAAAAGCATTGTAATGTAACTCGTGTATACTTAATCAGAATAACTTGTTAACTTGATAAACGAGTGCTAGTATCAGTAGTGAAAAAATAAATGTGATGCTAGTACAAATCTAGGTAAACGATGAGACATTATCGTTTAAAGTCATTCCTCGGCTATCTGAGAGAACAATTTACTACCGGATTTCAAAACTAGTAAAAATGTTTTTTTCAGAGTAACTAGGTGATTTTAGTAGTTCAATTCTTTATATCACACTAAGGAGAATTATAGTATGGCTAAATTTTTATAAAAATATCATTACATTTAAGATTTTAGAAAGAAACTTTAAAATAAAATACAACAAAATATATTTAAAATTTAATCATGAATTAATATTTGTATTTCTTTATTTTCATTTGTGTAAAAGTACAAAGCGAAGTAATGTTAACTGGCACGCATATGATTAATTATTCACCTGATATACTTTACGCGAGTCTCAAGTATTTTTAGAGGTCCGGATAGTAATTGTCATTTGACAATTGGCATCTAATTACTAGTAATAAAATATTTGAATACTTATCCAAGTCTAATCATACGCTTTGTAAAAAAATTTTTATTAATTTGGACATTTAAACAAATACGTCTATATTCTATAAAACTTTGATTAGTATATTTTTATCAATTTACACACACGTAAATGAATACCATATCGTTCCCCTACGAAAAATCTTATGATGAATTTTAGCATAAAATTTATGCACGTACTAATTAAATAATTTAACTTATACAACGTTTATAATTACATATATATTTAAATATCAATAGATTTATGACCAAATAGTGTCACAAAGGGCAATATTAAATACCCATAGGTCATAGTAGTACGCAAATCATAAGGTATGCATTTGTACATATGTTGTATAAATCTTAAAATGCGCACAATTTATTAGGCATAATAGGATTTCCCAATAAACAATGAATTATGGCCAATGAAACAAAGTTAGCCGCTCAGAGGATCGTTAACATCCCAATAGGGTAATTAAACATTGAACACCAAGAAACCTTAACTATCCTATTAGATTTTGTAAACATCGCTACAGTAAAAACTTTAAGCACATTAAAATTAACTACTAAAAACGTGAATTTGATGCAAAACTTTTGCAATGATAAAATAAATGATTGCATATCTTGTATTTTTGATTTGTTTAAAACTTTGAAATCGACTATGAGATTACTTATAAATATCACTTATTTAATAATATAACGAATAAAAATCTATTAACATTAACTTATCCTCTTTGATATTTGACAAGATAAAAAATATACAACCAAAATACAAAATTTCCTTTTAAATAATATACATCATCACATTTATTTTGATATGCAGTATTTATTAATATCAATTAGTACAACAAATTTAATCTTCATTTACATGTACTTTTTGTCCAGCAAATGATTTTTAAACAAGGATAAATAATTGTTGAATAAAGGATGTTTTACATCCTCTTTTAGAAACTATCGTAACTCAAAACTTTAAAATATAAGTTAATACTCATCTACCTTTTTAACTAAAGATAGAAGATTCAAATATGAGAATTGAGAGGTGTTGTATAAAAGTGAGTTACTTCCATTCGAGTGTCATAAGTAATATAATTATTAACTAGTGGTAAATTGAAATCTTAACTAGTTGTCCTTTGTTCTTGGAATGACTTCAGTGACAGTATTGAGTAATGATTGATAAATAAAATAACACAAATTTGATTTTTAGTTTACAAGTTTAACACGTAAAAATTCCGACCATAATGATCACGATTTTTACGTAACGATTTTGAGTGCGCGATTAGTACAAACTGTATGAAATAGCTCTGCCTATTATATTTTTTATCCGCAAAANATTGATAAATAAAATAACACAAATTTGATTTTTAGTTTACAAGTTTAACACGTAAAAATTCCGACCATAATGATCACGATTTTACATAACGATTTTGAGTGCGCGATTAGTACAGACTGTATGGAATAGCTCTGCCTATAATATTTTTTATCCCCAAATTCATCATATAAAATGTATAAACGATTACAGATGAATAGTATAAAAATCATTTTTACATTTTATAAAACGTTGACAAACTTTTTAAACTTAAGATTGGGATTGACAAATTAGATTAAAGAAAAAAGAAAATGACAAGTATAATTCATAGATTTCTTCTTGGTAAAGAGTGATTTTAAAAGTGACTAATAATTGATTTATGGCTGAAACGTGTGTAATATAACGTGATAAAACAATATGCGATTGTTAAGTATTTCTCTGAAGTATTTATTTATTAAAATGTTTTGGTTAAATGGAATCGTGTTTTTCTAAGAATATGAATATAATGTATAAATAGAAATTTTGATTATCTTAAACGAAATAGTTAAATAAAAGACCAGTATTGTGGAAACAAACAAGGAAGCCCACTGTTGTAACATAATATGGCCGTAACAACTACATTAGGACAGCACGCGTCTTGTCTTGATGTTTGGGTGTCGAGATTCGTTTTATAAGTTTTCTCGTATTTAAATACCACATATTTGTATAGAAAAATATAAAACTCGTAAGTATATGAAAAAATTAAAAAATATCAAACTCTACACTATACGTTACGTATTCTATATCGTCTTCGCATCTTCTCATTTCACCTACCTTGTGTTCTCCTATTTCAAATTCGTACTCTATATACTCTGTCTTGCTCCTACTTATTCTTAATTCCTTTCCTTCAAGAGCTGATCTCACACCTCTGACCTTAGATTATTTACCCCAATTATAATACTATGTCGTCAGCGAACAATATGCACCACGGTGCAATAAGTAATATTAATAATACAATTCAAAAAGAATCTTATAAAAAATATAAGGAATTTGTGATATCAAGAAAACTTTTTAGAATAGTAGAAAACTGAGAGGCAGGGGCGCCGGAACTATTTTTTACACAGGAGGGGGGGTTTAATAACTAAAACTCGGTCCCCTTGATTGTTACTAAGCTAAAAAGTGAATGAAGCTATTTTTTTGTGGATTTTGGTGATCCTATAAAAAAAATCAGGTAATTTATAAATTTTATTCTTAATCTTATTATATAATAGAATAAGAAAAAAAACGCTTTACTGGGAAAATTACTTGGCTTGCTCGGATTTTCAAAATTTTTTTTTTAACGAAAGTACTCAGTCACCAGACTACGGGAAAATTATTGGTGAAGGTCGGAAAATTTTTGCCGCTCGCGTTTTAAAATTTCGACTGTTTTTGAGAAAAACGCTTGCTGTCGCTATCGTTTTACGACTTAAGGTTTGAAATTATCACCAGACTCGCCCAATGACATTCCTGAGATATGATAAAAAAATCAATTCAATCCGTTCAATTAACACTGTTTTACGAGCTTTTTTTTTTAAGTCCACGCGCATAGTTTTAAAATGCGCATCGACTCATTTCTGTGCACATGTTTATTCTGAACATTTAATATATGGTGTTATATGTATTTTTATCAAGACACTATTTTGCATTTGCACATAAAGGAATATGTATGTTATATGTTATGTATAAATTTCAAGACTGTTATAATTATATAATTTTGTACTTTCATTATCAAAACAGTACATTATAAATAAACTTATTGCTATGAGTTTATGAGTTTATCGTTTAAATTGGGATCCATCTATGACAACTATGCTGTCCAATGTCAAATCATAGTTATCAGTATTTTTATCAAAATTAAATTTTTTACATAGTCCCGCGAATAATAATAACCTGATGAACTATTTTGTAACTTTTCTATAATAACAACTCAATTATTATAATTAGAATATTAATAATTTTTGTACATACGAGAGGTGTATTTAAGGGGCATATGGGCCTCCNTTAATAATTTTTGTATATACGAGAGGTGTATTTAAGGGCCATATCTCTTGAACTAACGCTATCAAATTTTTTTAGGCAACTTCTAAGGAATAAGTAGCTAATGTCTTTTTTTTTTATCATCACTTTGATTTTTAGAAAAAAAAATTCTACAGCATGTTTAATAAAGTGAAAAAATAATTAATATCCTCCTAAATAATTTTTGAATACGCCTAAGAGGAACACTTTATTAACAAACGTCAACCTTATATTCAATACATTTTAATATATTCTTTTTTTAAATTTTCCTGATTTTAATATAAACATTTTTAATATGTTTTTGCTACACTTAGTCTGATGTAATATTTTTTCTGTAAAACATTTATTGTGCCAGGCGTTGCCGGATACTCCTACCAGAATCAGTGGCCTACTTATGATGACGGCCCAAAGAGGCTTACGCGCCGAAGTCGCGCAAGGCTCGTAGGGCCCCGGATCTAGGGTGGAGCCCCAGCTAGGCGGAACCTGGTAATACATATTATTCTTATTATATAATTAATAAGTATTGATAATATAATAAAATATAGTTAATAGATTAATTACATTTTTTTTCTTACCACAATAAATAAAAAAAAAACCCTATCATTAACTTTAAAAACTGTTTAGTTCAATTTATGGG